ACTAGTAAATCGTAACAAAACAGTTGACAAATGAGAACAAAAATATACCAATTAAATTAACAAAAAAAATTAATAAAAACCATACCAATGTCGTAGAATGCCAAAATCAAACAAAAAAGACAAAATTGTAAAGAATGAACTTGAAGACTAGATTATTCGCCAAACCATATTCTGTGCCATTTGCTCAACCCTCATGACCACGTAGATTTCATAATAGAAAAGTTAACTTTTTTTTTTGCAAAACTTTTTTTTTATTCGCACGCGCGCATCAGTTTTGGGGCTCCCGGAGGATGTCATCCATATAATCAAATCAACATGGCCTTACTTAAAGTTTAAAGAAACCTGAAATAGTCAATTCATTGAGGTCATGAGGGAAGAGGTCAGGGTCAGACAAAATATAACAAGACACAGATTACCTGATTGAAACGCACATTCAATCATAATCATGTTTTTTCATTTCTGTCATAATACCAAAAAAAAATCTAAGTTTTTCTAAGGACACCAATGCCTCTTGCATTTCCCTGATCAAAAATGTTGCTTTGGATCTTGCAATGAGTGACAATTGCCAATTAAGTCCACTCGAATACAACACAGTTGAATCTAGATATTTTTATCTTGGATTTTAATCGTTTCCATCAAAACTTACAGTTATGCATTATTGTTATTGATACACAATGTATGCTGTGAAGAAGAGATTCTGAGCCACTTCCTCTAGATCTGAATCCCCTGCTTTGTGTTGTTGCAGCTTTTCACCGAGTTCGTCACGGCTCCCCTACTGGCTAAGAAGAGACTGCCATTCCACCCTCTTCTGCTAGGGGACCCTTGGAAGATCATACGTAACAGCTATTTCCTTGTGGTCAATTGCAAATAACTCTGCTATGCTGTTTCTACTTTTATGGTTTCTGCCTCACTATTGTGAGCTATCCAGGATGCAGGGGTTTGTTTTAATGCACATTGAAATTTTTAATCATATAGAACTCCATCTTTCCCATCCAGGTCCAGAATTGTCAGTAGAGACTGTATCTGCACTCCTTCCTGTGACGAAGTTACTGAAGGTTGGTACTGTCTTGAACCACACAAATTACAGAGAGGCTACCAGCATCATACAATGTAGTTCGGAAGTGGCTATTGCACCTGACATCATATTAAGATTCGGATTTATTTCATTCAACAGTTACTGGTATGTTACAGATTGCTGAAACATGAAATCTGTTGAACGTTACAGTACAAATAATTGTCACACTATGTATGTATTAATAGTACAATGCAAGATTAGGCCACACCAATTTAATCTGTTGGTTCTCAGATTTTCCATGAAAAACATGAAAGCCAACACCACAGGATGTCTGCCACAGCACCAGTTACCAAGGTGACAGACATCTGATCCAGGTCATTGACCTTGTGAGTTTGGTGAAGAAGAAGAAACAGCAAAAGCAATTACATGTACATGTTTTCCTTCATCGAAGGTAAACAATTCATAAAACTAGAAAGATAACACTTGCAAAGCAAATGCATCATGTTCACCTTCACATATGGTGTGCTCTCAGACTGTTAATTCTTACTCAAACACATTCATATGTGTGGTCAGACAAGAGTCTAAATCCCTCCTGATATAAAATTACAACATGATGTAACCCAACACCAGTTACCATGGTGACAGACAGTCTGGTTCTCAGGTCATTGATTTTTGGTTTGGAGAAGAGGAGGAAACAGAGCAAAAACAATATGTTCTCCTTCGGTAAACATAATTCTTTTCCTTCCCAGATGCCGACAGACCAGGTGTACGTGTCAGCCATACAGAACATGGTGAACTCTTGTGTGAAGGACCACCCGAGAGACGTGATCGCCGGCCCTGATGAACACAGCTCACAGGAGCTGCGCAGGCTGCCAGGGCTGGACAGGAAGCTGGTGGAGGGCATCAGGTCCCTCCTGCTGCAGGTGGAGGACCTACAGCTGGCTGTGGCCACGTCCAGATGGGTGGCTAAAGAGCTACCCTTGGGTGAGTCATTGCTCAGACAAACCCCCATGCAGACCCTCTTTGATGAGACCTTCTGTAGTATTTCCAATGTGGCGTCAATGGTGAAAACTCAAACAAATCTGCATTTAAAAGTAAAATACAGTGTATCCCTCCTAAATTGTTTTGCAGATCATTTGTGCAGTGCAAAAATGTAATGGTACAGTACCTCATAACTTCTGTCGCTGCTAAAAGACTGTGAGTTTTCCCAGACTGAGTCCATTCTATTTGCGACAATCTGTTTTGGTAGAAGATATTCGTTGCAGTCTCCAAGAAGCGATTATATGTACTGTAGATACCTCATTACTAATAAAACCTGTACAATATCACATAAATAAATTGACTGTTGACTTGTCAAAACAATGAGAACGCTTTGTTTATTTTCAGGTGCTGAGCAAGTGATGGCACTGAAAGCATGTGCCTTCCTCACAAAGAAGTGGAAAGAATCTCTGCCAGAAAATGTAAGTGCTCATCTTGTACACAAAAGGAATGGTTGCATGATACCAGAATGTTTTGCTTCTTTCTTAGCCCTGTGTACAAAGGTTTTCTTTTCAATGTGTTTGTTCATTTGTTTGCTTAAGTAGCAAACACAAACTTAAAGTGTCTGCAGCTATTTGAGATAAAGAAAGTAAGGGGGAAATGGTGTATCTGCAGACTGACATGAAGGTCAAATTGGAGGTCAAAATGGTCTCCCTACAGGCTAGGAGGAAGTAACAGTGGCATATGCACAAATTCAGCAAGTATACTTGCAACAGGAAATTCACAACTTACAGTACAGATAGGTTTGAACTGTCAGTGCAGCTTATACGTCCAGGTAATAAGATACGCCATAAAACAGTTACTCAGCAATTGCATAGATATGATTTTAGAAACGGCCAGACCTTTCAGGTAGCGTCCACTACCTTTCGTCAGTGACTCTAAGAGACTGCAGAAGGTTTGAAATCTTTGATTTCTTGTTTAAACAGTGCTACAGAAGAAATAAGTTGCATGTTAATAAGATACATCATGACGTTTCTTTATTTTCCACAGTCCCCTAACCTTGAGAAGGCCAGTATCATGCTGAATCGTGTCACAGCGGCCACCCAGCAGGTCGCCACCCAGCACGTCCTGTACAAGTACCGCCTGGCCAAGACACCGTACCTCAGTCTGGCCAACCAGCCCGCCAGGCTCATCTTCATGCTGTACAAGGACGACAGCATCCAGAAACGACTGGTGGAGAAGGCTGGAGTTTTTCCAGGTGATGTTGTGGCATCTGCGTGGTGTAGTGGATAGAGCGTCCGACTGTCAAGCAAGAAGACCCAGGTTCAATCCCCAGGGTTGGACCCAGACATGTCCAGACTTGCACCCTGACGTTGTGCCCTTGGGAAAGGCACTTAGCACGCATTTTCCCCTCTCAGCTAGAGGGATCCTGGGCCCTACGAGGGTTTGGGTTGGTGTTAGGAAGAGCATCCAGCCGTAAGAATCTTGCTTCAAAAAAAGACTTGTACCTGGTGCAAGCACGTTTAACCCCCGGTTGGGGAAAAATGATGTTAAATTCGGTTTTAAAAATATGTTGTAAACAAAGCAATACAAGTCCAGTTAGTTACTAGTTGTGAGCTGGTGTGTTACACCGAAGGGTAGTTTTACAGGTAGATTGTATACATGTACAGAAAAAAGAAACTGGTGTGTTACACACCAGTTTAAATTTATATTTACACACCAGTTTATATTTATTTTTAAATTTATGTATTTTGTGTTGTCTATGTTGTATATGGGCTTTGCCTGAGTCAAACAATAAATAAATGAATAAAACATAAGGGCAGTTATAGGACCAGGTATGTTATGCTGAAAGATGGTTAAACCGGTGATGCAAAATCTGTACTTCCTCTACTTTAACCTTCTCCTTGCTACCTTACCCCGTAACCACTAGAAATTTGGTGCCAATTAGCTACATTGTACCTTAGCAGGTTGAAGGTTGAATGATTTGTGCGTTATTTTTGCCTGGCAGACATCCATGCAGCTGCAGAGGAGATCTCACAGATCGGCTCTAGGGACCTGGGCAAGATCAGAGTCACCCTGTTTGAGGAGTGGTTACACGCCAGCGGGGGCAGCAAACAAGGAGAGGAACAAGACTCGGTACTGTCAAACTTGTAACATCATTAACAAACAGGGCTCGAAATTCAATTTTGGGAATAGGTGCACCATATAAGATAAAATGAGTAGAATGTGAGCAAACACTAAATTATGTTTCATTTCTAAAGAAAAGTACTAATACATGTATAATAACAATGATTTTATTATTTTTCTGGCACTAAGATGTTAAGAATATATGCTGTATAGTATACTACAATGCATACTTAAGTAAACTTACGAAAATATTTGGGTGCACTGGTGCACCCACAGAAAAAAATTGAGTGCACAGCTCCAATTTTGGGTGCAGTAAGGTGCACATGCACCCAGTATTTCAAGCCCTGACAACTAAACAAAACATCTCTGCATAATGTTCACAACAACTGACAATTTCACACATCATAACGGTTAAGACAGCTTTCACAACTATTTTGATCAAACAGAAGCCAACCAACACAGTGACGGTAATGATTGTCTTTTTCCACTTTTATCATGCAGACTGAAACTCTGAACTTTAACGAACCCCAAAACCAAGAGGCAAAGGAAGAGGAAAGGTCCCTTCAAAGGTAAGAAACCTTGACGTTCCTGATTCATGAGTTGTTACATGTATTTTTAAGACTTCTCAAACGTTATCATCTACATGTAGTCTTTAATACTTGGCAAAATGCAGTCCAACTTCAACACAGGTCTTGAGGTACCATGTGTTTGTCCCATGTAGAATGGTGTACTTGATGCAGTTCCAGGCTATGGAGAAAAGTGCTACATTCCTACTGAACATCGCTTACACTGTAAGTCTGGTCTTTTCCTCGCATTCAAGTGAAATTGGGACTACGTGTACATGTGTGTACAGTGCTACAGGTTCTATCTTACATAAACACGTGAAGCAACCAGGCCATTCTAATTACTGTATTACCTGGCCAGCTGTACATTGTATTATCGGTGCACACACCAATTCTTCCGCGACAGGGGTCCACTGTAGTGCCCGGAAAAAAAGTGACGAAGGGGTTCCGGTGGTTCATGTTTGAGTTTACATTTCTCATAATCTGCTGCAAAATGGTATTAACTACTAACATGGCTGGAAAGTATAAGAAGTGGCGTGTTTTGTGTGAAAATTGATTTCGGGCCCGATCGAGGCTTACTTACAGGTGTCCTTCCGCCTTCAGCGCGGTGCTTCGGTTTGACCTAGATATGCGTTGTTTGCGTTCTGGGGGTGCTGTCGCTATGCCTCGCACGACAGACTATTGTGATAATCTCAGTGTTAGGATTTTCTTTATACTTTTCTTAATAATATATAAGGGTTTTCTCTTTCCGACCATATAAGTCATATTAGTGGCTAAAGTATGGGTGATTGGTCTAATTCCACGTGAAAATGGCCAATTTTTGGCATCATTTTTCATCGAAAAATTATTTTTCCCCCTAAAATTTAAAAAAATGTGAGAGGTGAAAGAAATTGAAATTCTATTGTTCTCGTAGCTAGAGCGACATCCTTCATTTGCAAACACAGTGTTTTGACTCAAGAGGTATTTCCTGAAAGAGACGGTCGCTAGAGTTGAGTATGCAGAATCGAATTAAGACCCAAAATAAACTGGGGTGTGCCCCCAATTATATTTTGATGACATTCCTTGAAATCCCACCGGCAATGCAGTTTATTACACTGCTTGAGGTAAAAGTAAAAATGCTGTGCAGGTACTTGTACTTGTATTTGTATTTCTGATGTCTACCTGCACCTACATGTACATGTAACCTGTACTGGGCCATGTTCTGTACATGTATACCATCACAAAATGAAAGCCTTTTACATCTTACCTAGTGAATATTTGTTACATACATGTAGTTCCATGTCAAAGTTTTGTTGTTCCATGCCTTCCACAGCAGTCTGGGTCCAAGGTGACGTACATCAGCAGGGTTCGGGCTCTCCGCTGTCTGCTGAACCTGGTGGACAACCAGGTCATCCAGGCCATCGCCAACAAACCTGTGGAAGAAATCAGGTCAGGCTATGGCTAGCACGTCGGCAGAGCGAACTGCGCCTGCGCGAAACCCTGATTATTCACGGTTTTAGTTGGATATTTGGGCAATGTTACATCAGAATTTTGCCTGTTGCACACTCACTCACTCACTCACTGTCTGGTTTATCGTCTGTTGTTCCCATCTTCCGAGGGTTAGACGTGCTTGCACTGTGGTATTGAGGATTGATGGCAGCCCACCACTTGCCTCTGTCCTGTGTGTTGATGTGGGTTGCAGAGGATATCATTTCATGTAAAGCCCGCAGCCTGTGTATGAGGGAGCTTATACTGCCAAACCTCTGTATGTAAAAGATCCAACACACTTTTAAAGTTTAAGGGTGACCTGCATATGCTTGGCTAAATACACAAGCCATAATGAACCCACAGTGTCTAGTATGTGACTGTACATTTGTACTTGCTTGAAAAAGCTTAAAGTTTCTGCTTCATGCTTTTTTTTAATTCACACGCTCGCATCAGTTTTGGAGTTCCCAGAGGACGTCATCCATGTAATCAAATCAACATGGCCTCAGTGTTCCAGGCAAATTAAAGACTGAAATTTTTAATTTTGTTCCCCACAGGGAGTATATGAAGTGCCTGCTGTACCTGGCTGAGCTGGAGGCTCTCCATGTTCCACAGACACTGGAGTCTTTCAACAAGAGTAACAAGGCAGCCCTGGCCAGGGGACTGTGGCGCAACCACAACCATGAGTGGAGGGTGGGCACAGTCTTTTCTATTTTGCCACTCCAGTCACTAAATGCATTTGTTTGGGTGCCATTTAAGATAACAAAGGCAATTTCAGGGCAATATATAACATATAAAATGGGATTTTTAAAGTCAATTTTCTGGTTATTTTTTTAATGTACAAATGTAGTTAAGTTGAATCAACCCTATATATATAATTATGCGTGGCCATAGGCTATCCTCTGGCCTCCAAGTTAGACCCCCTTTCCCATAGACGAAATGTTGCCTGTCCATCCCTCTTTTACATGGTCATCGCTCTGCAGAACTCACCCAACTACTACTAGTTCCACCACTCAGTACTTTTAAGCGTTCCACTAGGTTCTCCACTAGCTCAAACAACTTCACCCTCCAAATTCCTTGTTCGAAATCTTTTTACAGTGACAATTTCTTTCCCCGTACGGCCAAGATTTGGAATTCCCCCCCTGACAAGTGTTTCCCACCAACCTACAGTCTACAGGCTTTCAAATCAAACGCTCACTGCCATCTCTTGACATAGCCATGTTTCTCTCATCTTTCTAGTTCAATGTCGAGAAGTGGTTGCATAGGCCTTGCATTGAACTACTCTGTTTAAAAAAATGCATACTGATAGTATTACATGTATCTCATTCTGTGAGCGAAAAATGCAATCATGTCACTGACAGAAAACGGTTGCTTGTTTCCTATTACAGGCTGGTTTTACATGTAACTATAGTATTTGTTGATAGACTCCTCACGTAGCTAGTTCTTTGGGCTATTTCAAATGCTTCAAGTATGAAATGATGACAAAACTGTGTAAACGCAATGACTTTCAAAATTAATGTCAATATCAAACAGATTTCCTCAGATTGTCTGAACTAAAATATTGTTTGTTTTGCCACCCTGAAATTGCAATGGAATTGCTTTTAAAAGAGTTGTACAGTAGGACTATGCTTTAGTGCAGAGAGACATTACATGAACTACATGTATATGTGACCATGCTAATTGTCACGGGGCGGGCTTTAACTTTAAATGTATGTTCATGCGTTCCCTGTAGGCCGTGCGTCTGGTGTCGGACCTGTGTCTGGACTATGAGATCTGGGACCCTCACATGTGGAACAGCATCCTGCAGCAGCTCATGGCCTTCAGGATGGTAGGTGCTTAACCTGCAGCCTGCTAAGGGAGCCGTTTGGCACAAAATTGGATTTTGGTGTTTGGCATCAGAGAGAAGGTTTATTTTATAAACGTCAGGCAGAACATGGTGCACTATGCCAATGATTTGGGATATTTCCGTACTGTGCATTGCATCCAAAGAAGTACATAAAGTAGTAGTAGTACATGAAGTACATCAAAACTACTTTTTCAGGACCTGTTATCATACTTAAGTAATTAGATGTGTTGCCTTTGGTTTATTTTTATTTTTAGGTACATTTATAGAAAAATTGATCAGGAATTTATAATTGTATTTTACCTACCAAAGTACTTAGTATACATGTACATGTACTGCATTTGTAAATCATATTAAGACTTCACTCTTTTCTTTTTTGTTCCCAGCTCAAGTACCTGGAACATGTGCTTATCAGACTGTCTGCAATCTCGGACTTGTGGCAGGTATGGAAAACTTACATCACATCTCAGGTTGATGGTGTAAGACAAGTAAAAAAATCCTCTCATGTTTCTCCTCCTTCTTCTTCTCCTGCCAAACAGTCAAAGGGATTCAACTCTGTCATTTTTTAGCCAAATGACCTGAAATTTGGCATGGAGGTAGAGTGGGCCAATACCCCCAGGCGTTTCATCAGTTGTAATACCTGGGCTCAGGATCCAAAAGTTCATTTTTTGTCGAAAAATGCCCAAAAAAACCTTCATAAAAGTTTTCAAAGGCATGTATCAAAAAAATGAAAAAAAAAACGCCTGGGGGTATTGGCCCACTCTACCTCCATGCCAAATTTCAGGTCATTTGGCTAAAAAATGACAGAGTTGAATCCCTTTGACTGTTTGGCAGGAGAAGAAGAAGGAGGAGAAACATGAGAGAACACAATATATTTCATCCATACCATGGTATGGACTGAAATATGAAAATCCTTCTCTAAATCCTATAACATGCAGTACTAAGTTATTATTTTAGTATTTTTACTGATGAATTTTTGGGCTAGTTCTCACTGCTGGAGGATGAGGACAATCACGAAGGGACCACCTGTTACACAAGAGTAAAGCTAGAATTCTGTTCGAACTCCACAGATAAAATGAACCTAAATGCAAGCTGAAAGAAAGGAAATAGCATCAACCAAGGATTGAGGTGTTCAAAAACTAAATACTTTTTCCTAGAACTATCGTAGAGTGGAACTTGCTGTCACCAAGTACAGTAGGGGCATTATCACTTAAGATAGCTTTAATTAGCTAACAAGTCGTTTGGTGTGATGTAGCCAGCTGCCGCCACGCCGTGTACGACTGTAAAGCTGGTGTGTTATGCCGAAGGGCGGTTATCAATCAAATGTTTTTTATTATTTTATTCATAAAAACAAGGACCTTGCAGCCAACAGCTGAATTATGTCCTGTTGTACAACAGTATTCATTCACACATTTATTTACACAAGCGTTAACACAAATACATGTATATCCAGATCAATATGATCCAGATCAATATGATACACAAAGTCTTTGACATAGTCATGTACTGCATGTATGATGGATGCCACTAAGACAAACAATGACTGTGAAGCCTGCGTTATACAGGTGAAGGCTATACGGACACAGAATCTGATACAGATAAAGAAAAGAAGAAGGAAAGTATCCCAAGTTTGCTCTCCAGAAAGATTCCCAAGAAGACTCCTATCCTAGTCTCATATTAACATAATTTATTATTATATATATAATATAATCCTTTGACCTGAAGTACCCATTGTGTTTAAGGTTGGATGTCTTATGAGGGCATGGAAGACAGTCTTACTGTCACCTTTCACAACAGGTGAGCTAGTCCAGAAGTGTAATGCTAACTATCTCCTTTTCAAATTGTTTATTGCCCTTTGCATTTCGGAAGACTTAGAGGTTTATATTCTACCACATACTCCACTTTAAAAGTTTGCTACATTGTATACTTGCATGATGTCTAGATTTTATATTTTTTGTACAGTCTATGAGAAAAATATTAATTCCAGCCTGCTCTAATAGTATAAAATATGTATTTTCTATAATACTGATTCGTATTGAATTTGTTTCCTACTCTGTTGTATATTGTATCCAGCTTGTGAGGACCAGAAAACAGCCTGTCTGAATGTGTACACCCTCATGCAGAGGTGGGACTTTCTTTACTGCTTCAATACAAAAAATATGATTTTCTTTTTACATAGATTTATCACTATCACATCTGACAGTGATGTTTTGAAACCATTTGAAAAGTTTGTTTTTTTTTATTTTCCAAGTCAGATTATCAGTTTTCTTAACCTATTTACAGACAGATTCTAGGTTCCAGTGAAAAAAAAAATTGTGGCCCAAAAGCTTTGGTATATGAATCCTTATGAAGAATGAAGAAGTACAGTATGTGTTTACCTTGCTATGGAATTATTTTAAAACCTTGTCCTGTGGAGCCCAACAATTATTTTGCATAAATTATACAGTACCATATCCATATAGCAACCTGTATAGGTACGATTTGGCGGTGTTTCTCGTACAACGCATCACACCGCAGCAAAACGCAACGAATGCAGAAGTAAGTTTGCCACCGCAGGGCAAAAAAAAGTCAGGGGTCAATAACCTGATTAAGATATAAAATTGAGAAATATTGTGTAAAAAATGCCAGCAGGACAAGGGTTAATTACAAAATTAATGGTTTCCTCTCACTCCGGCCCCCCCCCTCGCAAAAATAGATGAATTTACGATAATTTTCCTTCCCAGATGCCCCCTGCTGCTAGACCTGGATGTAGTGGGGTTCTCGCGACAGTTCCTACAGGCGGGACTTCCTGCCTGTGCCCTGGGCTGTCTCCTCTTCCTGCCTGACGATCAGAAAAGGAACAAACACATACAGGTGTGGGCAGTACTCTACTGAATCTCACATCTTAAAGCAATAATAAAATTTATTTTAGTCATTTTTAAATTTTATTTATTTCTCCAGTAGCATAAAGGCCTTTTTTCAATGTGACCTGTTGGAAAAAAAAAACAGACATAAGTTCAAATTAAAAAATATCAACGATACAAAAAGTAAAACTATGCAAACTGTAATTCGGTACTATAGCAAAGTACTGGTAACTTAGAAATAAAGCAATTGAAACTAAACATATTAGAATGAGGTTAAGAAATCTGGCAAATTATGATATTGATAATTATGTGACACTACTAAGTATGTAAGTAGTAAGTATGTTATAGAACGTAATAAAATGATATCAAGATTAAGAATTTGCTTATCAATGGAAATTGTGTCTGTTTTAAGGATGTTTTGCTTATAAAATGGAGTCATCAAATGGAGTCTAAATCAGGATATCATTATAATGTGCAGTTATGTGATGTAGATTGTCTGTTTTCCAGACTCTCCTTGCCAGTGGCTCCAGTCTTGGTATTTTGGACCAGATGAGGGAGTTGGACCTGGCCAGGACTCCGCTTTCCCAGGGAGCACAGGTCTGCAAGCAATTTTGTATATGTCGTGGGTTTAGGTCTGGACTTATAAGTGTGTACATATTTGCAGAAAGTATTTCCGAATTGCAGAACAAAATTTTGACATTCTGCAATATTGTAGAACGCTGAAAAAATTCATGTATGAGGGTCTGCCTAAATACCTCAACTGGACCTCAACTAGTACATTTCAAGTGGAGTCGTGTCTTTTAGGGATTGATATGCAAAATATCCACCCAATACTTGAGGCTCAAGTTGATCGGTTGATCGTTTAGGTCGATTGAGGTTGGTTGAGATATTTAGTCTTATATCATACCCGGGCCACGATAACGTTCGATAACGGGTTCCGGACCGGGCCGTACTTTACGGTACGGCCCGGTCGGGAACCCGTTATCAAACGCTTCCCTGGCTTCCATAAAACGATTCGAACGCGTTTCGCCCCGTGTTGTATTCTATATATACATGTACCACATGTACATGCATTTCTACCATTACCATTTGTATATAAAAGGCTTGAACATGTGTGGTAACTGCAGATTGTTGGAGAGGTGTACCAGTACTTGGACATGAGCCGTCAGTACGACACAGTGCTGGGTCAGCCTCACTACAGCTCACTCCAGGCCTACCTGGTGCAGCAGGACAGGACCTCATCTCTGGTACAGTGGCTACTGGACAACAACAGGTAATCATTCTGGTGTGGTAGTAGCTTATGGTAGCACAGGGCTCGAAATTCATTTTTGGGAACAGGTGCACTGGTACACCCAACCTAAAAAATTAGGCGCACAAAATGTTTTTCGGGTGCACCATATAAAACAAAACCTGATTATAGATCTTACTGTTCCTCTTCTAAGCTTGAATCTGAAATGGGAGCTAACTTCAAAATCTTAAACAAGTACTACAACAAAGATTTTATTAATTTTATGACTCTTAGATGCTAGGAATATCCTGCATACTATTACAAAAATGTATAATTTGATATGTACAGTGGAGACTATGCAAAACCCGGATTTTTTATGGTTGTCGTTGGATGTTTAGTCAACATTGCATCAGAATTTTGCCTGTTGCAGACAATATCTTTTACAGCACTTACTACATTTAAAAACGATAGTCGAGATGTCATCCCTGAATACACAAATACAATCTTACACAAAGACGTTTTGCTGAAGTGCTATGAACAATTCATTACAGTTTTCACACGGGCACAGTACGTTCTGCTGACATACAATGTACTTCTGATGGCAATTTGTACTTACCGGTACTTACTTATCCTCTTCGTCCTTTCGTAATTGAAAGACATAAGGCAATGACTTTTTCCTTCCATCTGGGTCTTTACGCCACTTTCTTTATTGATCGCCAGGAAAAATTCCCATAGACACCAGGTTATCGAACGGGACTACAATTTTATGCTGTTTTGGGTATTCTTCTGTCATCCATTCTTAGTACATGCACATGGCCAACTAATTCATGCCATGCTATAATCAACAGAAAAGTACTCCAATATTCAAGTGGTTTCGACTTTTATAAGTTGAATATCAGTCTTGTATCAGCCGTCACCGTAGTCTTAGACATCTTAAACTTCCCTCTGTCATTGATGTAATTACTTTGGATCTACTTTTGTCAGACTGACGGAGGCTATCCAGCTGGCCCAACAGTACCAGCAGGTCCATGGAGATGACAGCAGTTCTGTCACTACTAAACCTCAGTCAGGACTGCAACAGCTACAGGTGGGGCAAAACACAACACAATACACTGTAACACTTGTGTTTGTCACCTTGTTTTCTAACAAGTGTACAGTTGATTGATTGATTGATTGATGGATGGATGGATGGATGGATGGATGGATGGATGGATGGATGGATGGATTGATTGGTTATGATTATGATGATGATGATGATGCTGTGATATATATAGAATGCAACACAGTGTATTCCATGTCACCAAAGGCCAGATGATGCAGAATACACCGTGTTATTCATTTATGTCATACCCACCCAAAATTGTTTTTTATGCCAACCCAACCAAAAAAAGCCCAACCCAAACCTCTGCTTGGTTCAATACAAAACATGCCAGACGATAAGAAAATTTGGTGGCCCATAAATTCCAATTCCATCATCCAAATCGGGTATTCTAAATTTACAAACAAAAGCAGGGCATGCAAAACGCTTTCAAATTATTCTATTGCACTTTTGGATGCCTGGGTGACAACTGTTAAGATTCAAAGTGTTATCACACGGGCTGGAACACCCGTACACGTACATGTGTATGTCCAGATGTGTGTATGTCTCAGGGGCCTTTAACTATCATAATTATATAATGACATTTCCCACAGTGTATTACACAAACACACATGCACATTTGAAACTGTGAACCCACTTATTGTTGAAACTTTTTATTTTCAGGCTTTCCTGAAGTCCCAGGGTCTATCACCATGTGTAGACATGCTCGCTAATGGAGAGAATGGAGAGGACCAGCCCATGGATGTAGACATGTGAAAATTGCTTCTGATTCTACAATAACCTTTCGTAATATGTACCCAGATTTGTCAGACCAGGAATTGATGGAGAAAAAAAGAAGAGACATTTGTATGAGAGTTTTCATAGAATATATATTTCAATATAACATTTTGGAGAAAAGTGCATAAAAATATACATGTAAACATGCATTTATTAAAATGTAACTAAGGCTATGTACTGTAGTAGTGTTTTCTTGTCTGTCATCCCTCTTATACTCATGGTCAAACCAGACTGATTTTGGAGCTATTCATTCAGAACTAATGTCGGAAATATCTATGATAATTATATGCATTATATTGTCTCATTAGAAATCACTATTGTGATGTTAATGCCATTACTTACTTTAGTATTATGTGGTTATTAAAGAAATTTCAGCTACAGAATTACATCAATGTCAGTCAGTTTTTACAGAAGATATTGCTCTTTATGGATGTACTACATGCTTTGGACAAAAACTTCTTCCTGATTGGTATAATAATAGTGCATTTCATTACCTTCACCAAGAAGGTTATGTTATCAGAGGCGTTCGAGTGTGTGTGTGTGTGTGTGTGTGTCTGTAAACACGATAACTTGAGAAGGCTTCAATGGATTTTCTTGATACTTGGTAGGTGGGTAGGTCTTGATGAGACCTGGAAATGATTAGATTTTAGACCTCCTAGTGGCTTGTTATGGTACTGCAGCTGAACTTCCGGTTTTGATATCTCATGATCTACACATGCTGGGGTGACGAAATTTGGATAGTAGGTAGCTCTTGTGCTGGGGAAGAAGTGACGTGAATTTGACACCGTAGTTTGCTCTGGAACTGCAGGGCTATCTGTTTGAAAATATTCAAAAGCGGATAACTCAAGAATCGGTGGACGGATCGTCATGATATTTGGTATGTAGGTAGCTTACGTGATGCTTGATATGATTATTTGCATAATTTGTGGGGAAATTCTATAAGTCAGCTGCATTCCATCATAGGACTATTGAAGCTTGTGACATTGGAAACACAGGCAGATATTGATTATGTAAATGAAGACTTAATTTGCATAATTAATGATAAAATTTTATAATTATGTAATGATAACTGCAGAAGGAACTTTATCAACAGCCTCCTCTCTTCTTACACTTGGACGATTCACTTCACATCTATTCCTGGGAGCTAGTAGCAATACACAGTTCCCTCTCACCAGCTCCTGAGCAGAGGGGTGGTTGGTAGTTGTGCTTAAAATGTGGCATCCTCCAGTAAATGGGACACAATGCAAATGAAGAGAAACAATGAATGTAAATGTGCTGATGTAAATCCAGGAAAGCACTGGTTTGCTCAACTGTAGTAGTCGGCAATGGTCTAAAAGTCTGCCATTTGTTTTTAACCACTGGTGCTGTCCTTGGTGCTGAAATGTCACCCCCCTCCCTCAGTTCGATGATATTAGCCGGGTGAACAGGACTTTTTCGCCTCTTTTTGTCACATAAATCGACCCCTTTTCTCAGTAAAGGCAGCTCGAACAACTCTTTGGCTTATCTGGAGCGACATAATTGGCTCAAACACTTCCGTTCGTCGGAAAATCCGTCATAATTCAGTCATTTTTACCGTGTTTACCCGAAAGTAAAGCGACTTCTGGTGTTTCGAATGGTTGCCCATATTTGGGCATGAAGTTAACGTAATCATAGCTCCCAACCAATCAACAACGATCAAGCATAATTACGTGAGCCAATCAGCAGCAATGGCTCATCCTAGTTGCAAAACGCTAAATGTCACTAGAATTATAACCAATCAGCATAAGGATTACATATTTCAATCTAAATTTATGACCTTCAGCGCCATGGATCAAAAGCGACTTCTAGCAGTCGCTGAAATTACTGCAGGGAAAATTTTTCAAGTACCTGGGGTGCTAGACGCCCTCACTCATTTGTCACTGACACGTGTAGTGATGGCTCTAGTTGCACCCAAATAACTGGGGCGCGAGGGAGTAAACTTGGCAATGAAGGGATGAACAAACAGGCATACCAACAAATAGCTAACTACTTTGACCTTTCGTTATACATGCATATGTAAAGTGGAAGCAAGTACTTTTTGCAGCTAAAACAGTATACTGAGGCTACTCTCCAAGCAGAGGTTGATAGAGAAGGTCGTTACCTTTTTATATATGCCCTTTTTTTGTCGCTACCCCCACCAACTCTCCAACCAGTGGTTGATGGGAACATCGTTACCATTTCACATTTGCCCCGTTTTGTCGTTACCCCCACCAACTTGTTATAAAGTAGTTAACTGCTTGTTGGTACGCCTGTTTGTTTATCTTTTCATTCCTGGCAAGACCAGCGCCTTTCATTGCCAAGTTTACTCCCTCACGCCCTTGTTATTTGTGGTGTAATCCGTGTAATTATTGCAGGTAATTAGAAAATTTTTCCTGCAATAATTTTAACGACTGCTAGAAGTCGCTTTTTGATCCATGGCGCCGAAGATCGTAAAATTTACATTAAAATATGTATCCTTAATGCTGATTGGTCATAATTCTAGTGACGTTAGGCGTTTTGCAACGAGGATGAGCCGTTGATGCTGATTGGTTCACGTATTATCATTGCTCCTTGTTGATTGGTTGAAAGCAGTGATTACGTTAACTTGATGCCCAAATATGGGCAACTGATTCGAAACATCAGAAGCCGCTCTACTACAGGGACGTGCGTTTTTGTGCGGCGTGTTGTGCGTGAATCCTCTCCAAAGTTTGTGGTAAATTTTCGGCTTGTTGTCAGCAAATTATCCGTCAAAAGTGTACAGTATATCGCAGGAACGTTGCCGGGATGGATTTATGCCGTTCGTTGGATGTTTTAAGGGAGCAAATGCGCATTTCCTGGCAGGACGACAAGAAGCGAAAATGGCGGGAAGGGCGGCGTGGTGTTTGGAAGATTCATTTTTGGGAGGTAAGACAACAAACTATGCACATGTTTGCACATCCAACAAACCTATAGCAACAGAACACGTTATATTTCGTTATAATAATCGTTATATTCCGTAGAAATTTGCGTTTCATGGAACGCCATTCTCACTACATTAGTACTTGTCTTGTATTTTTGATAGGGAGTTTGTTTTCTTGAATATCGTGGTTTTGGGGGGCGCTGAATATATTTCGTCCGTGTTGAGTGGCAATGATAAAGCTAGAGGCGCAAATACCGCTGCCAAAAACTCGATACAAACACTTTTTTAATTTCCACAGTTTGGTTCAGTGAGCACATGTTGGAATGTACCGCACGTGTGTATAATTAAATCCACTCAACTTTCCCGCCAAAAATGTCGCGTAAACAAGTCTTCCCAAGTCTAAAATGAACTGGGTGCATATATGATGCACATCTGAGCACCCCAAAATCAAGTCTACTTGCACAACTGAAAATAGTTTAATTTCGGTTTTGTTACGACAGGTGTATCCTTGCTTTTAAATCAGCGGTTGTGACATTGATATCTTACTGGATTTTATACTTCATAATTTGCCATTTCATGATGAAGTCACTGTGGTTGCACTGATTTGATTTTGAGGATGAACTATGCAATCTTGGTTCTGCATACCAAGGAAGAATTTAACCTTGTGTACCTGCATACCATCTTTGGGGTAGAAGGCTGGTCTCTACTTTATCCTACATCTGCGACATACATCGTACTCGCACAGTACAACTGTCTGGACTTCCAGGTGATGAAAAGCTCTTCTTAGGCCACACCAGTTTAATTTGTTGGTTTTCGGATTTGCCTCTTCATTTTTTTTCTGATTTGCAACAACAACAAGAAAGATTCTGATTCTGAATCAACCCAAAAATGCTCATATTTTGGTATAAAAACAGATAATTAGTACACATAGAACCACTGATAACTACTAAGAAACCACTAGTAAAAACTACTGGGTTTGACTTCTTTTTTGAAGACAGAGGAAGACAAAGGATCCCACTTTTTCTGTAACTTGTGGGTTTTCGGATGTTAAGAGGAGAGTAGTTTTCTTTTCCCGTATGTGTGAAAGTTTGGGTAGAATTTGGAGGCTACGTCAAAGAGTTCATTTCGTTCGTTGCTGTAGAGGGTACAATTTTAGACAAAATGCGTTTCGTCTTCCACCGTATTCCGCAAATATGTTGATCTCACTTGAGACTACTTCTGTAAGGTCATTGATAAATGCTACAAACAGCACAGGTCCCAGCACACTTCCATAGTGAATACAGCAGCTTCTAACCTCAGTCTGCAAGCACAGTAGGGTACTCTAAAACAGGAAGTCCTTTACCCAACACCATAGTTTCCTTGTTTAAGTTGTTACTCCACAAGACTGTAACTTGTGGAGTAGGTGCTTATGAGGCACAGAATGTGGAACAGCCTTCTTGAAATCAAGGCATACGACATCCACTGGGTCCCCACCTTTTAGCATCGTACATACGATTCCGGGGAAGCACTAGTTTGCTCAGGTCTACCATTTGTTTTGAACCACTGCTGCTGTCCTTGGTGCTGAAACCAATGTCGCCCCCTCCCTTAGTTTGTAATAATATTAGCCCGGTAGACTGGACTTTTCTGTATCTGTATAGCCGGTATAACCGCCCTTTGGAGTAACACACCAGCTTCGCAGGCACGCGGCGTGGCGGCAGCTAGCTACGTATATCACACCGAACGACTTGTTACACTCAATCTTTGCACATTTAATTGCAGGAGTTGTTTAAAGCGAGTGATGATGTTTAAAGCTAGTGATGATGCCCCTACTGTGCTTGGTGGCAACGAGTTCCAGTCTACGATAGTTCATGGGGTAATACGAGTTTTTGAACACCTCAATTCTTGGTTGATAACTCTGATATTTGAAGGCATGACTGTTTCTCTTTCTTTTTGGGCTCGTATCAGATACTTAGTGGTTGGTACGTCCAACAGTTTATTAGTCATTTTGTACATCATGCACAGTCTGGACATTCTACGTCTGTCTTCCAGCGAACCCCACTGTAGGTTTCTTTTCATTTCCATTACACTAGCACCTCTTTGATAGTTATTCGTGCAGAATCTTGCAGCTTGGTTCTGTTCCCTTTCCAGTTTATCTTTGTCTTTCTTTGTATCTTTCCCTTTTTCACTTCTTCTTGTCACCAAGGAGCTTCAACAACGTCCTAACGTCTCAGTAAAGGCTTATCTGGAGGACCACAATTGTCTCAAACACTTCCCTTTGTGGGAACTTAATAACTGCAGTCATTTCGACCTTGTTTACATGCAAGTAAAGCAGTGCCATTGTTTCAGATTGGTTGCCCATATTTGGGCATAAAATCTGTCATCATAGCTCCGATCCTAACCAATCAGCAACAAGCAAAAATTACAACCTCCTCTTTGATCTCTAGACTCTAGTCCTGGCCCGAAGTGCCTGACATCAACACTGGGGATGTTGTCAACCTCG